CATTTAATGACGCGGATCCCTCTGCTCTCCGCTGGGGTCTCCGTTCCTCACCAGGGTGGAGGCTGGGAGTGATCTGGGCCACCAGGTTCTCCAACCTTCCATTCCTACAGGGCTCCAGCCGCTTCTCCCCACAACCCTCCCAGCCGTGGCTGGACTGTTTCCTCTGCCTGAAACGCTGCCCAGGGTCCCGCATACCTGCTGCAGCTTTTCCCCGGCAGGCCTCAGTCTCCTCTCCTGTGAAATGGGACAGCAACTTCCCAGGAACAGCCCTGAGTCCTGATGCCCGGGCCTGCAGCGGCTCTTTCTCTGCCCCCTCCCTGCCCTGTAGCAGGAAACCTCCACTCTGCTGTCCAAAACTGTCTCCTCCCACAACCCTGACCAGACTTGGCCTGTGACACTTTCTGTTCATTTCACAATGTTACCCTGGGGGTAGGGCATTTCTAACCACCTCATTTCTCACCCCCACCCCACCTCCCAGCCTCAGGAGAGGCACTGACCCAGGCTGATGGACACTCCCTCCCTGACGCAGTTAAACTGGTGAGCGGCTGGTTAATGCTGGGGAGGCCGGGCTGAGGACAGCTAACCCATGTGGGTCTGGATCCTGACGGCCATTTATGTGCTGTGTGACCTTGACCTTGACCTTTCCCCTCCCTGACCCCAGTTCCCTAAGCAGTCTGAGTCTGCAGGGTTCTGGTAAGGACAACAGTCTGCGTAAACAAGCCCGGACTTTGTCTCCGGCGGCGGGTCAGAGCGACGGCGGGTCAGAGTGACCAGGTGGACCAGGTGTCTGTGGAGAGGAGAGACTGAAGACAAGGGACTGGCGATTAGTGGGGGTCGGCCGAGGGCAGGGCCAGGGCGGAAGAGCAAATAAATGTTGACAGAATATTTATTTATTTATTTATTTATTTTTATTCAGCTGGGACCCGTCAGAGGGTGCTGTCCACAGCATGGCCTGAGTCAGGCCCAGGGAGCATCCCTCTGAGGGGGGTGGCTCCTCTCCCTCCTCCTAGGCTGCACCCCAGGACTCTGGGGCCCCAGCTGGAGTCCTCAGGCCTCTTCCTTGTCCTTAACCCGCCCTCAAGGATCCCAACCAGCCTCACGGCTTTAGCCGCTGTTTATACTGTGACCACTGCCTCCCTCCTCACGGACTACACCTCCATGAGCCTCCACCACACCTTCAGCCTGACCAGACCGAAACAGACCCCCCAAATCAATCAGTCCGTGGTCCGTCCCACCGTCCTCTCCAGTCCTTCGGCCAAAACCTCAGTCAAAGTCCTTTGGCTCCTCTGTCTTTCATTCCCCACATGCAGTTCAGGAGCAAGTCCTGGGTCTGCGCCTCCAGAACATTGCAGACCCATCCATCCTTGGCAGCCCTCTGCAGACCTGCACTCACCGTCTACCCCGATGGCCCTGACCTCTGTCCTCCTGCACT